AGAGAAAGGAAGGATGGGAAGGGGAAGGGAGAGAAGGGAGGAAAGAAGGAAGGGCTAAAGTGGAGAAGGGCGAGAGGGAGGGAAGGAAAAAAGTGGAGGGGGAAAGAGAAAGGGAGGGAGGGAAGAAAGGAAGGAAAGCAGGAAGGAAGGAAGGAAACTAGCTCATAGTTGTAGATGTTACCTAGTTTGGGTCATCTGTAAGAAGGCAACTAAGCTCAGAGAGCACCAAGGACCCCACAGATAGATTTCACTCTGAAAAGCACGACGTGTATCCAGTGTTAGGATATTATTAACAACAGCTCTGATCTGTTGCAGGAACAGTTGTGCCATAGCGAGCATGAACGGATGGCCACGAAACAGAAACATGCACCAGTGTGGAAAATGAGAAAAAGTCCTCCGCCCGATTGGAATTCACCCATTGAGGGAGAAAACTTCAAATGAGGCGCTCTGATATTCTAGCAACTTTAAGAAACTCTTCATCCTGAATAGAGGCATTTTCCCGCCATAAATCTGTGCTTCCACCTGGTCATAGCTGGGTTGAACTGTTCTGAAGTCAGTGCAAAATTTCAAAGGGCTTTCACCACATATCATTGCAAAGGATATATTTTTGCGGTTCACAAGCTCCGTCTTTGTTGCAAATTAGCTGCGAAAATACCGTGGCTGGTTGATAAAGGGACAACTTGGGAATTCTTTATTTGTATGCAACATTCAGGTCTGGATTAAAACATCCTTTACAAACCACAGAGTTGTGTTTATATAAACCTAAAAAAAATCAATACACTATGGCTTAACAGGATGTATGAACTCGGTAGGAAACTGGATGTATAGAGAACTGGCAATTCTATTACATTCAACTCCACAATGCAGATATGCAGGTAGTCCTTGACTTACAACGGTTCATTTAGTCACCAAACAGTTAAGATGGTTTTTCACACTTAAGAATGTGACAGCATCCCCATGGTCACGTGATCAAAATTCAGATGCTTGGTAACTGGCATGTACTTATACTTGCAGTGTCTTAGAAAAGCCAGATTCCCTTAACAACTGTGTTACTAGCTACTACCACAGTGATTTCTTAACGACAGCAAGAAACGTAAAATGGGGCAAAACTCACTTAACAACTGTCTTGGCAATGGAAATTTTGAGTTCAATCGTCGTTAAGTCGAGGACTACTCTGTACAAAACGGCTTTTCATCATCACTCTGTGTCAGGCAAAACTAGATTGGTAAGTATAGTTTATTCAACTAGAAAATGGAATTCCTACAAAACGCTGATCAATACATTAACTGCATCTACTATTAATCTCTTAAGAATCAGCTCAGAATAGTTAGGATGGCGTCTTAGATGCTTTGTATTTTCAAGCATCATCTTTTAATGACCACATAATTACTTGTCTGGGCAACTGAATGGAGCTGAGTATTGACTGGCCGGATGCCCTTCCTGTCACCAAGGGGGAGTTTTGTTCAGCAGATATATTCTCAGTGTGCCCAGACAGAGAAATGATCTGCCTCTACCTAGGATCGAACTCACACCCTCCTGATTGTGAGGTGACAGGTCCAACTCTAGGCCACCACAACACTCCTTGCTTTGTGTTTTCAATCCCCCAAGACAATTAATCCTTTATGATTGGCTTATTAGGTAGCTCACAAGATTTTATTTATTGGATAAACGTGTGTGTGGCCACCCAAAGATGGGAAGATTAAACTCTTAAAAGAGTCAGCATTCAAAGTTTTCCACTGACTCCTGTATGATCTATGTGTCTCAATGGTAGGTTTATCAAACAGCTACACTGGATGGGTGCTTGAGATCTAGCCAGTGGTCAGGCAGGACATAATTTAGCACGTTTACGCTGGCTGGTGGTGTCGCTCTTCCCACAACCCAAAATCAATATGTGTATGTTCTTGTGAGATCGTTGCATTTTCCTTCAGGGGCTTCGTACGTAGCCTGAGGAGGGGTGTGCAGGGGTTCTTGCCTGTCGAAAGGGAACAAGCAATCGTCCCGCAGAATGGCTGCCTGATACAGCTCTTCCGACTCCAGGCGCAATTCCCTTAAAGCCTGTTCCTGGGCAGCAACGAGACGTTTTATGGTGTCCATCTCGGCCAGGTCCTGTCGTTGCTTATAGGCGGCCCACTGTTTCAAAAGCTTAGTTCGCCTTTCGCTTTCTTCAAGGGAAAGCGGTTTAGGCTCTCGGATCCTGTGAGAAAAACAGGCCGCTAATAATAATAATAATAATAATAATAATAATAATAATAATAATAATA